GTTTTTATCATTAAGATCTTGGTTCCTTTTGATAATTATTAACACTAGTGTTACTTTGCTCTTATTTTTTGAAAAAAATTTCACAAGTTGATTTCCTTTATTTTGTTAATGTAGAATGGTAACGAACTGCTCTTTTCATTTTCTTTGTTTTATTTGTTTCGTTTGAATTTGATTTATCTGTTTAGTTTTTGATTGTTTAATATTTGTTAATGAAGTTGATTCTTTTAAACTTCGTTTTTATTTTTGAACTCTACTTGGTGTAGGTGTTCATCAGGTAATACCTCGACTGAGTTCAATATTGAGATTAGCCGGTTGATTTGTTGGATATAAACCTTTGAATAATAGCGCCTAACAGGCAGCTGTGTTTAATTATGTTCTCCTGATTTTGATTGTTTCTGTGTGTTTGAAGTATATGTTTGTGATATGCGCTTAGAAACACTTCACGTGTAATGAAGCGCTATATAAATCGAACAATAATAATAACTCTCTACTCTTGGATTTCACGTTATTTAATTATTTACAGCAGTAAAATCGTATAATTATCGGGAAAAACAAGTTTTCCTTGTATACGTTTTTATATCGAAGCTGAATACATAGTTTTAAGCATACTTACATAAGATGAAATGTCTTTCATTCTCTCGTTTCACTCATGGACCGATATTGGCAAGCGAAGCGCTCATGGCTGCTCCTTGTTAGCTCTACAGGTTTTCTGCAAATTACTTGTTTCATAGTCTTTTTTCAATCATAGTTTTTAACTTGTGCATCAGTGTAGTTATAGTGAATTTGTAGCTGAAGTTTTTATGGTATTTTATTTTAATTTTATCAATTTGAATCTACCCTCATCCAAATTCATCTGTTTAATAGTGGTCATTGGAGCATGACACTGATCAAATTAGCCAGGTTTGCCCAACTTGTATTGTATTGCTGTCAAATTATGCTCACAAGCTGCAGTGATCACACCTCAACGTCTTTCACTGAGACTTATACTTTCACTAAAGATAGTTGATTTCAAGACAATATACTAGTATTTTATCAGAAGATGATCTTAAATATTTGGAAAATATAACTAAGCACATTGTGAAACGGAAAACTACAAGACGGGGCTGTTCAGCTGGAAAACATCGGCGAAAGAAAATTAAAGTTAGAATTAGTGATAGACCTCAAAGTCAGCATAAAACTTATGAGCAAAAAATTAATTTTGCAAAACTATTTAAACAGCACACGCAGGTCATCCGACCAAATATAAATCTACAAGTATGTCCTTTCAACGCCCGCTCGGTGAGAAATAAAACTACTCTCATAAATGATTACATATACGAAAATGATTTCGATATATGTGGGATCACTGAGACTTGGCTTAATTCCGATGGTGATTCGTCAACGATTTCTGCCCTTTTACCAAGCGGCTATTCTATACAACATGTTTCAAGGTACTCGCGTGGAGGACGTGTTGCCCTTATATTTAAATCGTCATTAAATGTTACCCTTAAACATCATGTCAGTTTCCAATCGTTCGAATATATTGATTGTATTTTTAGTACTCAGACTAAGAAAATCGAGCACCAAACTCAGACTAAGAATATCGAGCACCAAACGGTCGGATGCACGGGTCGTATCCTACCGACTCATCAGACAAACTGGCGGACGGACAGCTATGGATAATACCAACCGACCATTTTCATCCGACGGACTGATGAAATAGCCAATCATATTGCGTTATATTAAACAACGCCCTACGGTGTATGACGTCATATCTGACTTGGCAACAAGAATTCGAGCACTTTGACCTCCTCTACCATGGACACTGTAACACATAGGTCACTTCTGCACCTTTAACTACGGAAATGGAATCGATAAGATCTCTTAATCGCCAACCAGGACCGTAGCTGAGGGCCGGGGGGGGGGGGCGTAGGATAAAAAATAGATATACATTGTCCGCCAATTTTAAAGCACCCCTGAGAACACTTTCCGCCCGCCTTGTTGCTCTGAGCTAGTTACGGCCCTGTCGCCGACCCATCTCTTGTTTGACCACACCTGTCTGCGATATCACCTTAAGTCAGTGGTTCTCAACCTTTTTTTGCCACATGAAAAAATAGCGGCACATGTTAGAACATCGAGAGACCCTTCTCTTGGGAGCTTCCAAGCTCCACACTGATTTGTCTTAAAACATCAGCTAATTTATACCAAACTTTGATATCTTAAGAAGTTAATTAAAACGTGCATGTACATATATTATTGATATTAACTATATAAAATAAAGAACTACACATTGAATATCATATTGAATGTTGGTGATACTGCGGTCAACAATCGGCCAACCTAATATAATCATATTGATTGGTGACACAGCGGGTTAGCGATCGGACAAGTATTGTTTAACTTGAACTCCCTCACCCTGTTACACACACCTGGCTAAATATATATGAAAATGATTCGAATTTTGCGAAGGAAAAAACTTGCAAGTCAGACGGCATACAACCGTAGACACAGGCTAGTCAGTCATAGACACATAGACTGACTCGAACTAAATAAAGAAAAACACAGATATGAACTTATCAGTAGACACCAGTGAATACTCAGTTGTGATCATGTGGTTTTTCGCATTTTGTTAGTGTGCGGTTCAAAATTCCGATGCACACTTAGGAAGACCTGGTTGAGAATCACTGCCCAAGGTTGAAGTGGACGGTTTAGCTCGACAAACACACACATTTCCACATCATCTTTGCTCATATAATTTAAATTGTTGACATGTTCAGTTCTGATTATTTACCTACACATTATTAATAGATTTAAATATTGTTTGCCTTTACAAGAACATATTCATTGTGTCTTTAATAACGGAGTTGGTTTGTTAATACCTTCATTGTCCTCAATAATCCATGTACATATTCAAATAACACAAAAACAACTTCTACTTCCATGTACTTTCTCAAGGTTATGCGATAATAATAGTATGACCTCATAACACATTAATGGATTTACCTTGGTGTTCAATTTATCAATGAAACTGTTCTCTTTCACTCGCAATAATAACTTGCTAATCAATGGCATGTTTGTACTGAGTAAAAAGTTAAATTTGTCCCATTAAACAAACATTATCCAAGAGCTAAATCTGATTATTGCAGGTCTATCGTTTGGCCTAAAATGTTATATAAACTGTTAAGTAGATATTTATTAACATGAAAAGACCGTAATCAACTTTCGATGCCATCTTATGTGTCGGATTGTCACTGGATTTGAATCCGATCTACTGCTCAAAGCTCATTGATGATTAAATCCATAAATGGAAAATCGAGACTATTTTTTTTTTTATCGTACCGACTTTAGTAATGAATCGCTAATATCTCGGATCAAAGTGGTGCAATTTGCCTGCAGTTTTCAGCATATTCCCTTAACATTATTTAGTTTTTAACTATTATAGTGAGAACTGCCAGCTCTTTATTTATCACCAATAATGTACCTTTAATCAATGGCATGGTTGTAAAAGGGTAAAAAGTTATATTTGTCCCATTAAATATATTTATTTATGCATGAATAAACTATGACATTTCGGTTATTGAATGGAGGTTGGTGTAGATTAATTGAACGAGTAGGATTATTTTGTGTGTGTAGGTCTAAATATTTATTTGTTTTAGAAATGAAATGAAATGAAATGGGGTTTAACGTCCTATACTGGGCTAATGAAGACGGGCATACGCCATACAGTGTGCTATGAGGGAAATTTTGCCCGGGCAGCGGCACTATCGCCTACTCCTATATCGAATTCCAACTGGCAAGGGATCTTTTACGCGCATTCCAATGTTTACACGGGACCTCGGTTTTTTGTCTCATCCGAAGGACTAGACAGCTGTCCTTGTCAGGCCCTCCGTCCTGCATCACTTACAAGGGGAAACCACGTCGGAAAATCGGGATGAACTTTCTCGGCCAATGCAGGGATCGAACACCCGACCTCCAGGCTAGCGAGCCAGCGCCTTACCCACCTAGCCACCGTGGCTCCCTATTTGTTTTAGAAAATTTCATTGGTGTTACTGGGGGCTGTCTCCCTATCTTTTACTCTCGGGTTACAGAAATAGGATTTGTTTATTTCTCCAGTTGTTTCCGTAGAGGGAGGGGGGGGGGGTCAAATGGTTATTTTTCAATTATTGTTAACGACGCTTGTTAAAGACTTGTTTAAGATTGATTAAAGATTTTGGCTACACTTTCACATCATGAAAATTTTTAATGCATCGTTTAATTAATATAAATGTGTGTCCGCAGCCCCTCCAAAATATTCCATAGCCCCACCAAATTTTACGAGCTGGCTACGGGCCAGGTCAGCGGTGGCACGAAATGATTGCTCCGGCGAACAAAGAAGAATCAAGATGAACAAGAGGGGGTAAGAATTCCACAATAGCCATAGAAGAGAGGTGGGGATGAGCGGTATTTTCATATTGCAGCTATATAGGAAGGGATAGGAACTGTCAGCGGACATCGTCCGATCAGAGACAGTTCCTAAAGGAACTAATTAGTTTATGGAAGCGTACTAGCACGAATCTGAGGAACAGACGACAACACCGGGATCGCCCCACCCCCCTCCCCACGGTCAGCGAGCCAATACAAAACTTCGTTCATTTTTAGATGAGTGTGTAACTTCAAAAGCACATTTTCTTCCGTCTTCAGGCCATTGATGGTCCGCGAATGAAAACGTTGTTGTTGCTTGAGAGGTTTTCGAGGACACCTTTAATAAACAGGTATGACGATACAGGTGTACAGGGTGTGGTTTAGTAGTTAATATAACGTTATTATTGTCATACCCCGGCTTCAATGTAGATTCCGAAATGTATTTACGATTAATGGGAGGTAACTACTGATTATTTATTAACCTATAACGGTTTTCTTTTTCTCGGGTTATTTTCTTAAGTATTTCTTCCCTAACATAACCTCAGTCTCGTGTTTTATCCTACACGTAATAGTCACAAAAGACAAGTAGTCGTTTTATCACCGGTGTCTGGTTAATCTAGGCGAGACTTACCTGTTGACACGCCATTGTGTAGTTAAGATACAATTGCAAAATATAAGAAAATCGGGTTTATAAAGACAAGGAAAGACCCACATGTTTGTAAGTTATTTATAAGTTTATTGTGGTTGTTCTGGATTAGTTAAGCTGACTATCATATCTGTCCTAATTTTCGATTGTCGCATCTAAACAACATGTAAAATGTCCCTATCTTATGACCAGGATGTATATAGATCACGTGATTTCAAAACGGCGGACCTTTTATAATACACCTTTTATATTGTTGTTTATATTTTAACCTAAATTTATATAGTTATTTATATACTCATGCCCAAAAGAAAGTATACACACTAAAAATAGGACACTAAACTACACTGAATATGTCTTGTGCGTCCAAACTCAATATCTCTAAGCAAATAAATGGCAAAACAAATGGACATTGTACCCAAATACCGCATACAACGGAAAACGAATTTGTTTGAAGCAGGACGAAATGCACAGTGTCTACTTTCTTTTGGACATGAGTATACATACCGTTTACTACAGACGTGGTTAGTAAGATACGATTTTAGTTTGTTGTACCTTTTACTACAGAAATGTCTATAAAGGTACGATTTTAGTTTTTTGTACCGTTTACTACAGATACGGTTATAAACATACGATTTTAGTTTGTTGTACCGTTTACTACAGATATGGTTAGAAAGATACGATTTTAGTTTGTTGTACCGTTCACTACAGATAAGGTTATAAAGATACGATTTTAGTTTGTTGTACCGTTTACTACAGATATGGTTAGAAAGATACGATTTTACTTTGTTGTACCGTTTACTACAGATGCGGTTGTAAAGATACGATTTTAGTTTGTTGTACCGTTTACTACAGATATGGTTAGAAAGATACGATTTTAGTTTGTTGTACCTTTTACTACAGAAATGTCTATAAAGGTACGATTTTAGTTTGTTGTACCGTTTACTACAGATATGGTTAGAAAGATACGATTTTAGTTTGTTGTGCCATTTACTACAGATACGGTTATAAAGATACGATTTTAGTTTGTTGTACCGTTTACTACAGATATGGTTAGAAAGATACGATTTTAGTTTGTTGTACCATTTACTACAGGCATGGTTAGAAAGATACGATTTTAGTTTGGTTAAAGGCAATACGTTCAGCTGATTTCTGTTACTGATGTTTTCTGACGAATGTATATTATAGTGGTAAGTCATTTGGGATTATATAAGCCATGTTAAATGTTTGTTTTGTGTACTATACGTCGAAATACTGGATATTCCATCTACAATGCATCCCAGTAGAGCTTGCCCTCAGTGGGCTTTAAACAGTTTATTGTCCCCCACCTTTCGAAGAAAGCAGGGTTTATTAAAATGGGTCTGACAATCACACTTTTTGGAACACAATAACTCTCCTTCTTATTGAGGTGGAGTCTTCAAACTTGGTGTAGGTGTTTATTAGGTAAATGCCTTGATGGGTCGAAGAAGAACATTTTCTGCTTAGGGAAAGCAGATACAAACCACTTGATTGGTTGATGCTTTGGGACACGTTCTAATTAAGCAGAGTGGTGAAACTTGATGTATAGTTTCATTACATCAATACCTTGACTAAGTTCGATTATGAGCATTTTCTGCTACTTGGGAGCTCGACAACTTTGATTTTAATTGGCGAAACATCGTTTATATCTTCATTACATTAATACCTTCACAAAGTAGAGACTTCAATCTGGTTGGTCGAGACTTTGGAACACAATAACCCCCTTTTATTAAAGTAGAATGTTCAAACTTGGCGTAGGTGTCTATTAGATGAATACCTTGACAGATTTCGATCATGCGTATTTCCACGAAGGCTAAGCAATTTGATTGTTTGAGACTTGGGTTCTAATTGGGTGAGAGCGATGCAACTTTGAGTATAGATTCATTATATCAATACCTTGACTAAGTTCGATGATGAAAATTTTCTGTATCTTATTACAACTAATAATTCATAAAATGTTGTTTTATCTTTGGCTGACATTATTAGAAAGGGCACCCGTCCGAAATAGGAAGATTCAAAATTGTATGCTTTCTATGACTACCATTTTTTAAAAAATATATTTTACAGCATTCAATGTACTGACGAGATTACTTCATAATCAATTAAACCTCGTATTTTGGATTGTTATGGCATGTGGTGTTATGGCTATAATTTGATATCCTCACCTGAATTACCAAATTGTTCCATGTCTTCCTGGAAACTTTATGCCAAATAGATCATCAAACAAATAAAATATGGCTTCCTGCAAGGGTAAGCTAAAATTCAAACATACTAATGGTTTACATTAATTACAAGATTCAGGATAACATTCATTCTATCTGAAAATGTTAGCTCTATAAGATGCCCATAGGGAGCATGTTATTTATTTATTTCATATTAATTTATAGACTCATCAAAGAGAACAACAGACGAAAGGATAAAGGGGTTAGACACCCAGTCGCCCGATTTCTACCAACCACAAAATGTATTGTTACCAGAAAAAGAAGAACCGTCTTCTAGCCACTTACCACAACGATTGTCAACTCGGCAGGCCATGGTACACATGTCAACATTAAAAGGCGATGATGAGCAGAGTGGTAACAAGAATTCGTTACACGAAGCTTGTAGACATGGGTCAGTTGCCAATGTTAGACATCTCATAGATCAAGGTACAGATGTCAACAGCAACGACGTATATGGTAGAACATGTATCTTACTTTGTAGTACATCATACATTGAACCCATTGACAAAATAAACTTTTTAAGGTCAAATGGGGGCAATATCCATGATACTGATGATGAAAACAATGGTATATTACATTTGGCTTGTGATTTAGGTATGCTAGGAACAGTTCAGTATCTTGTAGATATAGGGTTAGATATCAACTCTAAAGGTTTCAGAAATAGATCTTGTATCATGGCGTGTAGTCAGTCTAAAACGCAAGCAGCTGACAAAATGGAATTGTTAAGGAAAATGGGGGCCAATATCTATGATACAGATGTACAAAATGATTGTGTGTTACACTTGGCATGTCTTAGTGGTACATTAGATACTGTAAAATATCTGATAGATTTAGGGTTAGATATCAACACAAAAGGTTTTAAAGACAGAACATGTATTTTACAGTGTATTCTATCTAAAATACAAACCATTGAGAAAATAGAATTAATAAAGTCGAAGGGTGGTAATGTATATGATACTGATGATAACAATAATGGTATGTTACATCTAGCGTATGCTCTTGGTTCGTTAGATACTGTAAAATATCTGATAGATCTAGGGTTATATAAAACCACCAGAGGTTTTAAAGGTAGAACGCATATCTTACAGTGTAGTCTATCTAAAATACAAGCCATTGAGAAAATAGAATTTTTAATGTCAAAGTGTGGTGGTAATATTTATGATGAGGATGATCAAAATGATGGAATATTACATCTAGCCTGTGCCTTTAGTACAATAGACACTGTAAAATATCTGGTAGATCTAGGGTTATATATCACCACCACAGGTTTTAAAGATAGAACATGTATCTTACAATGTAGTCTATCTAAAACACAAGCTATTGAGAAAATAGAATTTTTAATGTCAAAGGGAGGTAATATATATGATAGGGATGGTCAAAATGATGGTCTACTACATCTAGCCTGCGCTTTTAGTACATTAAATACTGTAAAATATCTGGTAGATCTAGGGTTATATATAAAAACCAGAGGTTTTAAAGGTAGAACATGTATCCTGCAGTGTAGCCTATCTAAAACACAAGCCGTCGAGAAAATAGAACTTTTAATGTCAAAGGGAGGTAATATATATGGTAGGGATGATCAAAATGATGGAATATTACATCTAGCCTGCGCTTTTAGTACATTAGACACTGTAAAATATCTGGTAGATCTAGGGTTAGATATAAACGCTAAAGGTCTTAAAGGTAGAACATGTATCTTACAATGTAGCCTATCTAAAATACAAGCCAAGGAGAAAATAGAATTTTTAATGTCAAAGGGAGGTAATATTAATGATAGAGATGATAATAATAGTAGTATTTTACATTTGGCTTGTGAAAATGGCACGTTCGACACCGTTCAGTATCTAGTAAATTTAGGATGTGATATAAACTTTAAAGATGACGCAGGAAACACGCCGGTTTCATTAGGGTTTAGGTCTGATACACAATCTATTCAAAAAGTGGATTTTTTAATCTCCAAAGGTGGCAAACTGCCGTGGTTAATGTACAGCATTTACATTTTAATGACTTAGAGACATAAATGAAATGAAACAAAGTGGGGTTTAACGCCCTACTGTTCTGCTCCTATACTGGGCTAATAAAGACGGGGTGATATGGGGTAAAATTTTGCCCGGGCTGCGATACTATGGCCAAAGGAATCAACCACAAAGGGATCTTTTACGTGCACGCTAATGTACACACGATACCTCGGTTTTTGTCACATCCGAACGACTAGACAGCTGTCCCTGTTAGGCCCTCTATTCTGCACCACTTATAAGGGGGTGACTTAGAAAAGACAATAAAAGATTTACCAATATCGTTATAGCGTTTCAAGCGACTACTCGCATTTATGGTTTCACCAAGGTTTGAAATGTACGTGATTGAGATTGTGTTTTAATTTGTTTGTTTTTAAAAGGCAAATCCTGTATGTAGACTCTATTTCTTCCATAAAATAGAAACGTGGTACTGAAATGTGAAGACTTACTTTTAATATAATAAGATTTTAACCCTGAAATTAATTACCTTATGTTGCGTTTTCCCTTTAACGCTATTCGGGCTCATCTCAGTCTAAGCACATGGACCAAAAGAATAATAAATTCAATAATGAATTACATATAGTTTTTTCAAAAAATATTTATAATTAATACTTACATAATACAAATTACAATAATGTTCAGTTATGGTTATATAACTTATATTTATATTATTAATAAAAGTAGTTATTTACTTTAATAAATAAATGTAACGATTATGAATTATTCCCCTTTGTTCTAAACTCTTGATATATAACAATCAATAAGTCACCCATACTGTACGCAGCGACCCATCTACGTCATACTTCCCAGAATGTGACACTGCACTGTTTACCCGCCATTTAAAACGTTCATGTGATCATTTTGTCGCGGGACGTATCGACTATACACCGTTTGTTTAGACAACAGAGTAAAAATAACCCAAGCACGTGTCGCTGACACTCGCGTAAAAGCGATATATAATATGTGCTATGGGTAATATTGCAATCAATTCTTTACCATTGTAAACTGTCTTTAGAGTTTCAATCTGTTTATCTTTCAAAACGAGGTTAGATACTCCTAAATTTGTTTTCGCAAACAAAACCGCCTCTGTGATATGATGTTTCATGGGCGCCGCCATATTGAATAATTAGAGGACTATTTTGTGATTCGGCCTTGATTAGTTTGACGTCTTTCATACACACAACGGCTAAATAAACAGATTTAATTTCATTCAATATGACAATAGAAGAGAAATAAATACTTTTAAAAATTTCTAAAAGCATACTCAGTGTTTTCGACTAACATCTTCGATGTAGGAATTAAAATGTCGGTTAATTAGCTTAGGGCCTATTCTCAGCCGGAGCTAGCTGTAGATAGGCAGCCTAAGTTTGGGATGTAAGTCACTAAGTAGGGTGACTGGTAATCTTCGGGTGAGTCTCGGGTGATGGGTGGCCTTCGGGTGAAAAGTGGGTATCGGGTGACGGTTGAGTCAGGTTGAACCTCGGGTGACTGGTAATCTTCGGGTGAGCCTCGGGTGATGGATGATCTTCGATTGAAGAGTGGGTATCGGGTGACGGTTGAGTCTTGGGTAATGGATGAGACTTGGGTGACGGGTGATCTTTGGGTGAAGAATGAGTCTCTGGTGACAGTCAGCTTATATAGAGTTTCCCTTTTGAACAATAATTATGGGTTCTCAAGCCAGTCAAGGCTTGGTCCCTTTGGACAATAAATTATGCTTCTTATTGGGTCACAGGTAAAACTAATTCTAATAATTAGTTTAGCCTATTTAGCAACTAACTAAGGCCTTGCAATCAATTTATACAAGTACTAATACAAGGCATAAAAATAATAGTCCTAATTCTCAACTAATAATTAGTTTAATTCAGGCCTATTCAACAAAAGTAATTAAGGCCTTGCTATATATTATTATTTAATCAGGAAAGCTTATTTATTATTACTAATACTCTAATAGTAATAGTACTTCTAGTTATAAAAATTATGGAGACCTCGGGTGCGGTGAAGCTTTTTACCCCCAATTAGATCTAAATCTACATGGTCACGGGAAATCACGCTAAATTCAGGCATATTTATATAATTAGGCCTAGATATAAACATCAGCTATCGCAAGTCATTAAAACTCACGAAACATGTGGGATAGCCTAAAAACTGCCAATGAGCACTCTAGCAATACAATAATTAATAAATAATTAGCACCCTGCGACCTCAACGGGAACAACCGGAAGACTCACGTCTGCTTATTGAAATCACCTATTTTTGGTAACACAACTAACCAACCGTTGCACAGCGGTACGAGTTATGACGTCAGCACACGCTAATATTCTAAGATGACCGAGAAAGAAAACATCACCATTCTTTGGCGGATTATTACGACTATTAATACAATTATGTATAAAATAATCCATTTGATTGCACGACAGTTCAATATCCGGCATTCTTATTTTTTTTTATTGTAAAATTTCTCTCTTCATGGACCATATCTATGTTTTTTAAAATTAATCCTAATTCGTCGTCACGATTCATGTTTGTTTATATTAATTCATACGAGTTTTGCTTTTTTAAATATTTCCCGATGAACATGTAGACCAGATTTTCGCCATGCCCGATCTGTCTTGTTTCGTTTGATTTTTATGGACATCCTCATTATACCATTCATTTCCAGCAAGAACCGTAACTGATTTGGTTTGTAATGGGAGAACAGCATCTATAATGTCTTGAATAACAGTGTTATAATGGATAGCTTTATCATTAATTTAATTTATTTCACATATTCTGGATAATTCTGAATTCGTGATTTCCTGTTTCAGTGCACCCTTGTCTAAAGTTTTAAATCTTCTAAAACATATATTTCTACGAATGGGTAAAGGTTTTCTGATTTCGAGATCAAAGGTTACGCAATAATGGTCTGATACCAACTTATCAGAGACCGTGATATTTGTCGTAGTGGTTAGAAAAATTGAATCAGCAAAAAGATATTTCTATTCAGATAAAATAGAATCCAGTGAAAATAAAAAAA